GCATTTGTGCTCTCGCTTACTTTTGCGCTGCCTTCCATAAGAAATGAGTTACTTCACTGACGAAGTTTCTAGGCTCTTTTTCTTCCCCCCCCCCACCTGCAAATTTTTACAAGTAAATTTGTTGACCACATTGGGCTCTTTTTCCTTTTCCCCCCCAACCTCACTCAAACATGAACTTTATGGTTTAAGGAGTGATTTTACAAGGTTAATTATGATGATCAAATATGCTTGTAATGGCCTAATCAGTCTGCATGTCAATTTTTACGGCAATCGGACAAAGTGAACAGTAACTTCAAATATAAAAATTTGCAGGTGGGGGGAAAAGGAAAAAGAGCCCCACATTGTCCGATTGTAATGAAAATTAAGTAATGACTAATAAGGCCACGGCAAACATATTTGGTCTTCATACTCAACCTCGTAAAACCACTCGTTACACTAATAAGTTGAACTGGCTTGAGTTTGGGGGGGGGGAGGAAAAAGAGCCAGTTTCTATATTTTTCAAAAACAATTTTTTTAAATAAAATTTAAAAGGAATCTTCCGATTTTGCTGTTTTTTCAATTTCGGATTTTTTTAAACAAATCAAATACTTATCTTCAAATTTTTCATCTCCTGAATTGGCTATCTAAAGAAAAGGTTTAAAACCAAGTTAAGATCTTCCACCCCAGCATTTAATTCGCTCTACATGTAAAATGCTCGATTCTGATTGGCTGAAATATTCTAACTTAGAACCAAAATAACCTCTCCCCCTCTCCCAACCCCCCATCCCCAAAGCTTTTGGGGGGAGAAAGGGAAGGATGTTAACTTGGTCCGGCTTTTTTTTGAAAAAAATCAATACATGCTCTAGATTCTATTTTTTTTCGATAAAAAAAAAGATTGATAGAGCAGCACTGAAGTTTTGTTAGCATAACTGACGGTGTATCCGAGTTAACTTGCTATACGATGAACCGGTTTAAATCATCATTTAACTTTCTAAACCTAAATAAATTCATTTTAAAGGAACGTTATTGTTCCGACTTTCGATACGAAAGTAACGGAATATTTGTGCTCGGGGTGGGTTTTTTTTTCTTCAGACAAATTTCGACTTTTTAACTAGCCATTTTTGATGGAATTTTTTTAATATCATTCAAAAGCTATTGTTGTCCTGAGGTTAAATTTGAAAAGATATTTCACCGGTGACCATTTTTTGTAAAGTTATGGGGGTTTAAAGATTGCCATTTTTGCCAATTTGGAACAATTAACGCGCGATATATTTTGCGCTATTAACACGTAAGCAGAGATTTAATATGCCTTAGAAGTCGTTCCAAATTGGTTCAAGGAAGCTTATAAGCCAGAATTGATATAGTAATAGGAGCAAAATCTATCTTTTTGTATTTTATATAGCGTGTGGGGGGATGATTTTCATTTAAAAAATTCAAATTTTAGGAAAAAAATTTCATTTCATTTTATTATATTTAATTTTTTTTGTTATTACTGCTCATGAAAACTCAGGCAGTCGGAACTTTCAGGGCTTCGCCCTGATACGAGTAGTCTTGTTACAGTTCAATTCAAATTAAGCGAACATCACGTACTCAATTTTAACTACGTGTATTCTGAGCTCTTATTTGAATATTCAAATCATCATTTTGATCCATCAAATGAAACTACGACTCGAAAAACTGCTCAATTCAGATGAGCTGACAAACCAGCCGAATTGACTTCACTTTACAAAAAAAAGCTTGTCATTCAAATCCAAACATTGAGTGCATGCAAAACAGCTTGCCAACAAAATTCATTTCAAAAGTGAATGTGTAGTGTAAGCATTTTTTTACTTCAGGTAAAATTTTTTATTTAACTGTCAAAATCATTTTTGTACGCAAATACACGATTTCACAAAAAAAACTTGCATGCAAAAATTGTGATTTTTTGTCGATAAGGTAGTGATATTTTGGTACATGAGAAATTTGGTACATTGTGCTACATGATAACCCAAATAAAAAAGTTTCTTTTTCTTGACTAAAACTTTTCTAGCCATATACAAGGGCTGGGCTTTTATAGTTATAACTCTGGGTGAAATTCAGTACTAAAAAGTTCTTGGCGAGATTTCAAAGGCAGCTCATCGGTGCGATTCTTGCAACTTAACCTAATGGTTTCTTGTAAAACACAAACATTGTTAGTATGTTTTCGGAAAAAAAACACTTAACAATCAAAGCGAAGTTTGAATTTTTAATCTATGTAAAACTGCTCATCAATCAGTTCTTATACAGTGAAAAATGTTTTATATTAAGACCATTTTTTATCCACGGGGGAAAGGACCAACACAAGAGCTGTACAGCTCATCACGGCGAACCGCTGTTGTCTCCCTGTTTAAGAATTACATGAACTTTTTTTTGGTTATTTTTCTGGGCTGGGTTATGTTGCTTCACTCTCAAGCAACGAGCACGGATCATGGTGGGCCTCGAACATCCGACCTTTCGATTGAGAGGCGGAGACGTAACCACTTCACCACCGCTCCCCTTTACATAGTTTCCATACATAAAAAAATAGGTATCGCGAAATTTTGATAGAGGTTTCTTCTGTACGTAATGATTTGTACGAAAGTGGTTGAAGAGCATATTTCCACATATGAAAATTGCATGATAAGCAATTTTGGTCAAAACGGGCAAGTTGGTTTCAGAGTGGTTATATTCGATTGTGACTTTAATCTTGGACTTCACTTCAGCGCTTTTAAATGAGACTTAATAAAGGACAAGAATTGCCTACTCCCAAATACTACAATCTTAAAAACAGAAATTTTTCAACTAGCTCTGTTATTAAGAAATGAAAAATTTCATAGTAAATCATAAAAATATAGATTATATAGTTAGTTTGAATATAGGTTAACCTTGAAAACAACTCAGTTTCACTGTGATCAAGAATTTGTCTCGAGAAATGTTAGATTATTATTTTACAAAAAAACAGGGGAGGCGCGGTAGGTGGCGGACGCCCCCGCCTTCAGGGATTCGACCACCTGCAGACCCAAACAATCCCCCCTCTGTTACAATTTCAAGACACCCAATTTTGTCTGACCAGCACTAAAAAGTTTCTGAAGGCGCCTGGGGTACCGATTTATACTGAAATTAAAAGAGAGCGCGCGCCAAAGAAATGCAATTGTTTTGGTCAAAATTTTCCAAAAAATGCCCAAAAACGGCTTTTTTGACCTGTTTTCAAAAGTTTGGAAGAGTTGAATAAAGTTTGGTCAAAACAGGATCTTTATAGTCTTCTGGGAGTGCTCGACGAAATCAATTTGGTCGACCTAAAAAAGATTTTTGAAAGTTTCATTGAAAAGATATATTCATTAGCTTTTCAATTCCATTAAGTGAAAAATTAACAAAACTGCTCGTATCAGGGCGGAGCCCTGAATGTTTTGACTGTCTTTTAAGGTCTATGAAGCTGTGATAACATCAAAAAATAAATGTAAAAATTAAAGAAAAAAAAGTTTTTTTTTAGTTGGAAATTTTTTTTGTGAAAATACGCAAAAATACGCCATATAAAGAACAAAGTGATAAATATCGCTCCTAGTAAAAAATCAATTATGGCAAATAATCTTTATTTAATCAATTTGGAACGATTTCTACGACGGATTAAATCTACGCCTACGCGTTAATAGCGCGAAATATATCGCGCGTTAATTGTCACAAATTGGCCAAAATGGCAATTTTTAAACCCCCATAACTTTACAAAAAATGATCACAGGTGAAATATTTTTTCCAATTTAAGATAAGGACAACCATACGTTTTGAATGATAAGAAAATTTTGTCAAAAATGGCTAGCTAAAAAGTCGAAGTTTGTCTGAAGAAAAAAAACCCACCCGAGCACAAATATTTCGTTACTTTCGTCGCGAAAGTCGAAACAACTAAAGAAAGTTCAGCTTATTTTTTTTTCAGAAAAATTCAAATGTTGGCTAATTTTGGGTGTTTCTAGACAAAAATTTTATGAATTTCACAGTTTTGAACCCCCACTAAACTTAGATTTTGTCTGGTTTGAAGTAGCGACTAAGAGAAGTGTTAAGTGTTACTACTGAAACTTCATCATAAATAGACTGCTTGTATCAGGGCGAAGCCCTCAAAGTTCCGACTGCCTTTTAACGTTTATGGAGCAGTAATAACACAAACAACATAAAAAAAATTAAATGAAATAAAATAAAATGAAAAACTTTTTTTTCTAAACTTTGAAAATTTTTCTATGAAAATCATCCTCCCACACGCTATATAAAGAACAAAACAATAGATTTCGCTCCTTGTAACAAATCAATTATGGCAAAAAAGCTTCTTTCAACCAATTTTGAACGTTTTTAAAGACGAATTAAATCTCCGCTTACGCGTTAATTATATCGCGCGTTAATTGTCCCAAATTGGTCAAAATGGCTAAAATGGCAATCTTTAAACCCTCATGACTTTACGAAAATTGATCACAGGTGGAATATCTTTTCAAATTTAAGCTCAGGACAACAATAGCTTTCGAATGATATAAAAAATTTCGTCAAAAAAGGCTAGTTAAAAAGTCGAAATTTGTCTGAAGAAAAAAAAACCCACCCCGAGCACAAATATTCCGTTACTTTCGTATCGAAAGTCGGAACAATAATAGATGCGAAATCCGTCCTCGCAGTTTAGTTTGAGTATAAAGCATTATTGTTTATAAGCAGATCGTTTTTTTTTAATAGAAAACTGCTGCTAAAAACGTATGAGCAGATTAGTTTTAAACTGCACTTGACAAGTCATAAAAATATGCAGAACATATAATTTTTGCGTGCACATTTTCAGCAAAAATCTGAACACAAATTTTCATGCTTGCTATGTTTTTCTTGTTATTTAGTTATTTTCAAATGATAAACGACTTTTCGTGAGTTTTGAATTATAGTTTTTTTCTGGTAATTTACTGGTGCTAAAATGTTCATTGTATACGCGTGCAAAAGTTTGGCTCAAAAGTAAATATACAGTCATTCACTTTTTTTGTTTTACTTGTTAGAATAAAAACTACAGAAAACAGAGCCGATTATTTTCTACTGAAAATGAACATGCTTTTGTATTCAGTTTCAATGTGTTGCTTATTTGGTTTCAAGTGAATACATAATAAGTAAACTTCTGCGAGTTAAATTATAGTTATTAAAACGTTTGAGCATATAAAAATCGGTAACATTTAAAGGTGTCTTTCTAAGCCAGTCCTTAAAAAACAATCTATAGTTGAACTATCTGAAATATGGACAATTTGAAAACTTCAACCAGCGTAGAAACTGGCGAAAACTCTTCCAACAAAAGGGAAAGCAAAGTTTTATTTTCTGAACCGGCGGAAGACTCGGATTCTTCTCAACACTCATTGCTGGTGAAAACACCAGCTACAGTTTCTAAAGACGAACCAAATGCTGCTCTAATAAAGTTTCCTCCGTCAAACGAGCCAAAATTTGAGCAGATCTCTGGAATTGTCCGGTTCAAACACCAAGACGAGATACACAGTGGATCTCCATACATAACAGTGAATGCGAAAGCCACCGACGAAGATGTTGAAGATTTAGTCGAACGCATTCACGAAAAAAAAATGTGGAATCTGCCGAAACCTTCCTTGATCGTTTCAGTAACTGGAGGAGCATTGGATTTCAAAATGAAGAAAAAAGTGAGTTTGGAGACTAAATAATTTTTTCTCAGGACTATTGTTGCCTAATGTTGTCGATAAAATCCGCCAGAAAAAAAATATGAAAAGACCAAAAATTTTCTCAAAAAATCTTGCTCACTTGACGCCTCTTCTGAATTTTATAATCAAATGGATTCCAAAAGGAATCTAAATTTTTTCATTAAGGATGTTCTGCTTAGTTCACAATTCACAGCAAAAAAACACAGTTTTGCCTCGTAATGTTTGTTTACGTATTCGGTTTCCAAACTGCACAAACTAACCCTGAATTCTTTTTCTTTGCGTAGTATCATGACGGGTTGAGACAAGGTCTTCAGAGAGTAGTTGCCACTGAGGGGGCGTGGCTTATCAGTGGGGGGACTAACGCGGGCATCATGAAAATATGCGGGGAAGCAGTACGGGATACTGTTCTCACTAATTTATCAGCTTCTGATAACAGGTAACTTATTTTCTCAAAATTGAGTTCTACGATTAAAAATAAGCTTGTTTGTTTTATTTTAGTAATTTGGGAAACAAATACTAAATATTGGCACACCTCCAAAAACAACATTGCTCTTTGTCTCTATTTAATAGCCATTTAAGTAAGAGGGAAACAGTTAAGGAGGCCCATTGCCTTACAAAAACAATTATTAAGAAGAACAAGACTGCTCGTATCAGGGCGGAGCCTTGAACGTTCCGACTGCCTTTTAAGGTCTATGGAGCAGTAATAGCTTGAAAAAATTGGATGCAAAAAAAAAATAAAATGATTTTTTTTTAATTTGAGATTTTTTGTGAATATCATCTGCCCCACACGCCATATAAAGTGCAAAATAATAAATTTTGCTCTTAGTAACTCATGCAATTAAGCAAATATGGCAATTAAGCTTCTTTTACCCAATTTGGAACTATATGGTGCGTTAATTTTCCCGAATTAGCCAAACTGGCAATCTTTAAACACCCTTACGAAAAAGGATCAAAGGTGAAATATCTTTTCAAATTTAAGCTCAGGACAACAGTACTTTTCGAATGATACAAAAAAAATTCCGTCAAAAATGGCTAGTTAAAAAGCCGAAATTTGTCTGAAGAAAAAAAACCCACGCAGAGCACAAATATTCCGTTACTTTTGTTACGAAATTCGGAACAACAAGACGGATAGTATATCAAGGCAAAGCCCTAAACAATCCGGCTGCTTTTAAGGCCAATTGAAATTTCTTTTTTGTGGTTGAATAATTGACAAAATAATTACAGAACAATTTTTCTTTATTTTTTCTTCATTTTATCCCTGCGCACGCTAAGAAGAAAACTAAGGGTGTGGTTAGCGTCTCGTATTGTGATAATAGGGTTAAAATCCTGGCCTCAGTTCAATTTTGGACGCAATAATTCGCTGGTTACGCGTGTTAAAAGTATGCCATGTATCGGACTTTAATTATCCCAAACTGGCCAAATTAGCAATTTTCAAACTATAACTTTACGAAAAATGATCACAGGTAATATATCTTTTTAAATTTGAACCTAGGATAACAATATTTCTCAGATAAAATAAAAACAGTTCCATCAAAAACGCTTAGTTGAGAAGTCGAAAAATGATTGAATAAAAACAACTACACCAATTGGTTGAATAGATATTCCAAGCATAAATATACCAAGCATAGATATGCCCCACTTTCTGGGAAATTCGGAACTAAAACACTCAGGTGGAGCTCGATAACCTGCAAATCGAGAAAAAGAGCAATGATATTTTTGATACGAAGTCTAATTTTTAGACACAAACTTTTTCGCTCGTTCAATGAAAAACACGAATTTTTATGCAGAAGTATTATAAAAACTGTCAATGTTCTTTTATATTAGAAATGTCAGTTCCAATTTTTTGCGAAATACAAGAAAATGAATTTAATTTTCGGTTTATTGAACTATCAGTGGATTGACAGTTTCTATAAAACTTCTGCTTAAAAAACCGTGTTTTTCAGTTAACTTGAGAAGCAAATTGTGTCTAAAAACTAGCTTTTGTATCAAAAATTGCATTTCCCTCTTTCTTAAATTTTGTCTACAGCGATTTCTCGGCATCAAAATTATTTCAGAAACCGAGTGGTTGCTATTGGAATAGCCACATGGGGCTCAATTCCTGGCCACGAAGAGTACTTGACACAACAGGGAAATCCAGATGAATTCGGGAACTACGAAGCGCACTATCCCAAGCCGGTCAAGGTAAGGATGCACAAAGTATCAGATCTGCTAGCATTGGGGAAAAACAGTTTTTTTAGTGAATTTTTTTTTCATAATACAGGATATGGTTCTCAAAATGGAGAAATGCTTTTTTTCTGGTGATGTTTTCTCCTTAAAACATTATGAGAATTCCTCAGAAAATTAAGGGTATTTTAATTGAGCGCTGTATTTTTTCCTAGTACAGATAAAAATTAATTGAAATAAAACTGACTATGCTTCGCTTCACATGCAGTTTATTGTCTAAGTATTACATTTAAGTTTCAAATATAAAAGATGTAAGGCTCGGTGTTTGAATTGCGCAGAAAAATTTTGCTTTTGCACCAACTGAATTAAAAAACAATTAGCTCCAATGCTTTAATTGCTTGAACGCATTTGTTGCTGATTTTATTAAAAAGTATGCAGAAACTAGAGGCAAGTAAATTTCCATTCAGATCAAGTGGGAATGGAAGTTTTGTAAATAAATTTTGATTTTGAAAAGCTGTTGATACAAACTACCAAACGTTACTTGGAGTGGACTTCCCCACACAATAAAGAATTCCATCTCTTTTCTTTCAGGAAAGTTTTTTCATCAATAAATTCCAAGTATGTTTTTGATTAGAAAATGATTGTGATACAGTTATCATATATGAAAACTGTATGATCGGCATTTTTACTTCGCAACAAAAAAAAATTAGAAGTAAGCTGCAGTAAAACGATTATTCTAACTGGAATTTTCCCCATTAATAGAATTTTATGACTAGTTTTTTTCTATTTAACCAAATTGTATGACTAGCCTTTTTTGTATGGAATTGTGATTAATCGAATTGTATGACAACAATTTTTTTACATAGATTGAATCAATTTTTTTTGTGTCTCTTGTTTTAGGTATTTGTGTTTTGCCCTAAAAAACCAAAGATAAACCAAAATGAGAGAACCTGTAGGTTAAATGGCAGCTAAAAGGCAGATTAAGATAGGTATTGAGATATGCCAAGTAAGATAATCTATTGAATTTCACACAAAATATAGTTTTTTTATGGATTTGAGAACTCTACTTGAAAACTCTAAGGTTAAAAGCTGTGGCCTGGTTTTGAATCTATTAGATTACATGTTATTATCTAAAATCAATAAAAAGTCATACATCACAGAAAACCTCCATTGTGATTTTTGATTCTTCTGTGTAATTGAGGTTGGTTTAAGCGGCTAAAATTTGAAATAGAAAAATTCTGATATTTTAGTATGGGAAAAACGCTTATTATAGAGGTCTCATGAATGAAAATGAATGACAAGCGTTTTATCCATACAAATAAAATTATTTTTTTGACAATTAAAAGCTCTCTCATTCATCAAAAATCCTTTTTTTCAAAAATACTTGAAAACACGTTTGCAGGATTTGCAAATTTTGTTTGTAACGAAAAAATAAATTAGTTCTTATTTCATTCTTTTTTCATAGATGTAAATTGTATTATAATCATTTAAAAAAAAAAAAACTCCAATAGTTGAACTGTATGACAAGCTTTTGTTTCGTACGGAGGTCGACCCGGTCCAAAAAACTTGGTTTTCAAATATAATTCTGCGTAAAACTTAAAAAAGGTATCTCAGAGTAACCAAATGCAGATTATCTGTGCGAGTATTGATAATATAATGATAATCTTATTAACATTTTATAAAATATCTTTTAACCAAGAAGTTTTTATAAAATTTCTTTTATTCAAAAGGCTTGTGATCGACTATAGATGGCAGTCAGAACATTCAGGCATTCTTTGATATAAAAGTAGTCCTATTTTTTAAGGGACAAACATAAAATGCCGCGCCAAATACAAGGTAGTTTTGATTGATTGAAAATTGATGTTCATACAGTTTTCATAGCTGGGAGACACTTTTGATTTTGCACAAATTCACTTGTGTTGCATAATCAGTTCATAAAAAATATTTTCATAAGGTAATCGAATGTAGGCCAAATATCAATGAATCTTGGATTTTGCATCCGGCAGTCCATAGTCATTATAGGTTTTCCATAGGCTTTCCATAGGCATTCCATGAACTTAAAGTATATCCACAAGAATTTTATACCAGTGCTGATAGCCAGACAAAACATAAATGATATGCATTGTAAAAAAAGTAATTATCATGTGATTTTCAACATTTTTTTATTCAAAGGAGTTGTACGGACTTGTATGATAATTATGTTTTCGGTATCATGGAATGGCTTAATAAGCATTGTTCGATAAGCATTGTTTGATAAGCACTGTTTGATAAGCATTGTTTGATAAGCCTTGTTTGATAAGCATTGTTTGATAAGCATTGTTTGATAAGCATTGTTTGATAAGCTCTTAGATTGCCAAAAAAGGTTATAATTTGAACGAAGTAGCAAGAAGTTTTTTTTCTCCTCTTAAGTTTTGATGACTTGACTTCTGACTTGCTTGTGATATTAATATGATTCTACAATGACAAAAACCATAATTTTAGTTTTCTAACTTAGTCCAGGCTCGTTTTCTAACGTAGTCCAGGCTCGTTTTCTACACTAATGTAGTCCAAATAGAAGTTAATATAAGAAAAACCGTAATTTAGGGTGTGGGTCTTGATCCCAACCATACTCACTTCATTTTGGTGGACGACGGATCAGTCGGTGAGTTTGGTAAAGAACAGGTGTTGAGAGGCAAACTTGAGAAAAAATTGTGCTCTGAGAAACAAAATGGAGTCAAGAAGAGGAGTGCTACGGATACAGGTGAAAAAATCCAGGTTTCCTATTTGAATGCATGTCAAAAAAACGATAATCAGTCCTAAATTAGTGACTTTGTTATAAAATTTCAAACAAAACACATTCTTTTTTCATTTCAAAAACTTAAATCTGAATAAATCCGTGTGGTACAAAACGACCTCTTTGCTTTTAGTTTGCATTTTTAGTTGCAACTTTTTTGAGACCTACTCTACCAGGAGTGTAATAAGGAAGAGGGGTGTGGCGGATGTCTCCCTTCTCTTTAGGAGATTTGTCTTCTTCCCCTCCAAAGAGTTGAACCCTTGATTTTTTTTCAAGGGTCAAAAAAAGTGGCTGCATCGCATAAAACATTGTTAAAATAGGTTCTGGTTATTGTTCAGGGTCATTCAATTTGGTTGATCTAAAACGGTCGACAAAACTTTAAACTTTTTTGAAAACTCCGCCTCGCGAGAAAATCTCAGATCCTCTCCTGTAATCTCTTGTAACTTACCTATAAAGTATCTATAAAAGAGTATCTACAAAATTTGAAAAACAATGCTCTTTATGACAAACGGTGTAACCATTTCAATCTAGAAACCCGAGTTCCAATCGTCTGTGTAATGGTCGAGGGAGGACCAGGAACTATTGATACAGTCAGACAGGCTCTAAAGAACAACACCCCTTGTGTGGTAATCAATGGATCGGGGAGGGCCGCTGATGTGCTGGCTTATGCGGTTAAAATAAAAGAAAAATACCCCGAAGATGACCAAAAAGAAAACATTCGAAGTCTGGTTAGGAAAAAAGCAGAAAGCGACTTGAATCTGAAAAATTTGCCTGGAAAACTGGACGAGAGTGTGAACTGGTTAATTGAATGTTTGCAAGTGGATTTTATCGACAAAATCAGAATTTATGATTTTGAAGAAGAAGAAGGCGATTCTACTGGTAAAACTTTAAAACATCTCGTAACAGCATTTTAAAAGTTTGAGCAATATTTTAACAACGTATTTAAGAAAAAGTGTGATAGAGGGGTCACGAGAAACAAACAGGTTCCCTAGTGTAAAAAAAACCCTCTAAAAATTTTTTGTTCCAATTTTTTGCTCCAATGATGGCATAGCGTTATATCGCTCCAGTAAAGGTCATAGCGTTATATCGCTTCAGAAAAAAATCTTGAAAACGGTCAAGCGGCGTCCATTTTTTTCAAATCAATAAATTTGCGTATATTTAGCGTCCTGGTCACTCTGTCACACTTGATTTTTACCGGGACCCTTTTAAGAAAAAGAACAACATTAGAAAACCATGAAAAGTTTTCTAATAGGTCATAGCGTTATATCGCTTCAGAAAAAAATCTTGAAAACGGTCAAGCGGCGTCCATTTTTTTCAAATCAATAAATTTGCGTATATTTAGCGTCCTGGTCACTCTGTCACACTTGATTTTTACCGGGACCCTTTTAAGAAAAAGAACAACATTAGAAAACCATGAAAAGTTTTAGAAAATTTTTGAACAGCACATTTTATACCCTTCTTATCACATGTATAAATAATTGAAGTTAGCCAATTTTTAAATAGAGCTGTTAACTTTCTTAACATATCACAAAAACATAAAGCAAAAATTTTAAACTTTTTTTTCAAAAGTACGTGCAAAATAGGACCCAATTTGCATAATGATTTTTTATTTCTAGGTGACCTTGATAGGGCAATCTTGCAAACACTGCTAGAAATGGGAGGATTGAGTGCCCGAAAGCAGCTCGATCTATCCTTAAAGTGGAACCGAAACGACATGGTGGAACAAATTTTGATGAATGAACGTGATAATATTAGTGATAACGATATTGATGAACTTTTGACGAAAACTCTAATTGATAATAAACTAGAGTTTACTAAAATTTTTGCCGAAATGATAAATTTCAGAGAGTATCTAACTATAGAAAAACTCGAAAAAATCTACAATGAAACATTGAAAGTTACGACGGAATTATTTTTGCTTCAAATTTTGGAAAAAGCAGAAGGGAAAACCGCCGTTCCTAAGCCGGACCACACGAGAAAAGCAATTATGACGGCTTTCAACATCGATTACGTGCCCCAATTACAGGAGAAAGCAGTGCAGGGCACAGAATCAATTTCAGCTCGGTATAGTAACCCAGAAATAGAAATGTTTGTTTATTCACTTTTGTTCATTCGACCTGAAGCTAGTGAATATTTCTGGGAAAACACGTTATGCAAGACATCAGCGGCCTTATTTGCGATTCTTGTGTGTAAGACTATTTTGAACTCATCAGTTTCTCGACTGGATATGAGTTTACAGCTCAAAATTGAATCAATGCTAAAAAACTATGAGTTCAGAGCTGCCGGGATACTAAATTCGTGCTACGATGTCAAGGTGGACCACTGCCACACTATTTTGAAGATAAAACACAATCGATGGGGAAACAAAACTTGTCTCGATTTGGCTATTCAAGCCGATTGTAGAGAATTTATTTCGCAGAGTGGCTGCCAAACATTAGCTCAAGAAGATTGGTATGGAAAATTGAGCTATCGTAATAGTTTCTGGAAAATCTTAGGGGTGACTGTGATGCCTTTGTTAATGCCTCTCTTGTGGTTCAAAACAGACGATTCTACCGCTAAAGCAGCTGTTTATGAATACCGAAAACGTACCTTAGGACCACCATCGCATAATGATTCGTGGCAGGCAAGGAATCACAATTCCCTTAAAATAAGAAATTTTTCGATCCAGTATTTAACTTTAAACGATTAACAAAAAATTGTTACTGTAAAAATGTTATTGTAAAGAAACAAAATAACAAGCCTAACTTCATCGTTTTAGCATATTTTTTTGCTTATTTGACTCCATTGGACTATTTGTATCTAGCCCCAGAAAATTAAAACAAGATCAATTCCTTGCCTATTTGGAGAACGAAGAAGTCACTGTATCTGTTGGAAATTCGTCCGGGAAAATCAACTCATTTGACAGATGCCGACTATTATATACTACACCTATTGTAACGTTCATTCTGAATTTGATCGCAACCCTTTTGTTCTTGATCTTGTTCAGCGTTGTCACTCTGAAGGGTAACTATATTTTAAGATCGTTCTTTGACTTGCATTTTTTTGCAATTTTATTGTTTTTGCTCTACCGCACTGACAAAAATGGTTTTGGATCAATTTAAATTGATTTTAAATTAATTTCAATCGACTCAAATAGATTAACAATGTACATTTTACGAATTAAATTGGATTTTAAATTGATTTAAATCGATCTTTTTTGAAAACTTTGAATCGATCTAAGCGTCTAAAAAATCGATTTAAATCAAATTGGATGGAATTTCCGACTCATTAAAATCCATCCAAAACTCACATGGCGAAAAAAACATACCGTTCAAAAAGTAGTTGACATTTTTTATTCTCGATTTTTAAACTATAAACACTCGTGCCAGATGTTACAGAATTCAATAAAATGATCTACATAAATCAGATTATAAGCTCGAAAATAGGCAATGAATTTATAGAAAATTAATGTAAATAGGATTTTGCAAAACCTCATATAACACACAAGAAAAGGTCTGAATAAACTAAAATTTGATCTCATTAAAATGCAGTTAAATCATATAAAATTATGAAGATAAATCGGACTTTGGGCAAGGAAATCAAGAAAAGGGTCAATACAGATCAGTTTTTAAACTTCAAATATGCAAAAAAAAATCGTAAAATTTCATCGATATTTTGGTCTTTTTAAATGTTTTTTTTTATGTTACATTACGCTATGGATGTAAATTGAAAAATGATAGGCAATGATTAAATGCAATAAAAATTGGAAACTGATAAGTTTTGATTAAAAAAAGCCATTTAAATTGATTTCAATCCGTTTAAATTCTTTTGAAAACAAAAACAAATTGAGACTGGAAAAAATGCCTTTAAATTGATCTTAAATTTTTCAGTGGGGATTTAAGACCAATTTAAATTGATTATGAATCAATCCAAATCAATCTTCACCTTTTTTATTTAATCTTCGTTTTTTTTTCAAACTGAAATCGAATTAGATTTGATCAACGTACTTTTTTCATAATAAAATCGATCTAAATTTATTTAGCGTACTTTTTTCATACTAAAATTGATCCTAATCTACTTTTGTCAGTGCGGGTTCTAACTTGGGAAAAGGTCACCGAAGACCAAAAAATTGGTAAGGTGATGTCAATTACCTTTCTCGTTTTATTCCGTCTGGAAACAACCGGCATGCAATTTAAGGCTTAAGTAAAAGAATATTGCGAATTATTACTTACATTTTGAGACAATTATATTTGAATTTAAATGCCAAACATAACTTTTTGAAAAAACAGGTTGATCTAAATTCCTTTTATGTCAGTAATAATCATCATTATCTCTTAATTTGCCCAAATGTGTACTCACAAAAAATATTTTACATACTTCATGGATTTTATATTGCTGCTGAAAATAATCTCTCTAGTTGATGTCTTTATAGTTGAGCTGAGCACACAATTTTATCATGAAAATTAAACTTTCATTTCAAATCAAATAACATGCTCTGAAGCTAACGTCTATGAAAAACCTATTAAAGCAGCTCACTTGGAAGGTTGTGGAAAAATCGGGCAAATAAAAAGGATTATAATTGATTATAAACGATTAAAAAGGATTAAATTTTTTTCAAAAAATGAAAATTGGATGAAATAATTGATTAAAGTTGATTATAATTGTAACAAAAACAGAAAAAGTTTACAGGTTTCAAAATTGATTGAAAATTTCTATGAGGGTTTATATTTTTTATGCAAAAGAAAGGCTATAATCGATTACCCAAAAATTTCCGTAGTTTTAGAAAGACAGGTGCCAAAAATATAGAATAAAATTGATCAAAACCACTTCAAAATGAATGCGGAAAGTCCTCGTGGAAAACCTATATATGCTTTCAAAATAAAATATTAATTGAAAGGTTCAAAAAGCGATTATATTTTTTAGAAAAGAAAGGCTATAATCGATTATTTAAAGATTTCGTTTTTTTTAGGAAGACTTTACCAAATGTAGGATAAAATTGATTTTTATCACTTCAAAATGAATGCGGAAAGTCCTCGTGGTTCTGAAAAAAAATCGTTGCATCACCTGAGACATTGTGGTGAATAAAAACTAAAAAATTGGCCTCTAAAAAGTTTAATAAAAAATTAGTAAAACAAAAAATTGGTCTGTAAAAAGATTTAATCGAAAAAAATTAATATCAATATAAACACACTTTCGATAGATAATTTCAATTTTTTTTTCAGAAACAACATACATTTTGATTCTATTACGGTCTTTTTTAGCCATAGAAGTGACTGTTTTCCCGAAATGAATATAAATTATCGTATACTATAGTTTTGGCTGTGTGTTTTCAAAAATACTTCTAACCTATTCATTTCATACCCAGGTCTGAAGCAGGTCCCTAGCACAGAAGAATGCGTGATCGTCTTTTGGATGCTAACTTTAGCACTCGAGGAAATCCGACAAATCATTTTCATATACGAATCTTCCACAAAAAGGCGTTTGGCTGTGTTCTTTGAAAACAGGTAACTCAATTTATAAAATGAGATTGACAAAAATTATTTTAAAAAGGAGATAGATAAGAAAAAAACATTTTATCATTATATATTTAAGCGTTGATATCAACAGCAATTTACGCTTGTAATTCTGAGTAGATATATCTTGGAATACTAAATGGAGATTACTTATGCTGCATATAAAACTAGTCAATCAGAAAGTAGAAGAGTTTTTGCTGAACCTGCAGGACGCTAGATTCCAACAGGTTACGAAACAAGGCCCTACCAAACAGAGCGTAGCCATTCTTTATTGTTCCATTTTTTGATGAAAGGGACGGGTTATTTGTGCTCATGGTTGATTTCAATTTTTAAGCATTCATTCGACAGTTACTGTTGCCCTGAGCTTAAGTTTGAAAAATTATTTCACCTGTGATCATTTCTGAAAAACTATCGGATTTAAAGGTGGCCAATTAACGCGCAATAATATTCGTGCTAATAACTCGTAAGCGCAGATTTAAACCGTTTTAGAAAACCGTCCTGACGTAGTGTAAGGGGTGATGATTTTCAAAACAACACATAAAATTTTGACATCACGAGGCCAATGTGTATTTTGTGAATTGTACGCGGTTTCCGCACTAAGGATGCTCCCTTTGTTCTTCTTTTGTTCTTTCATTTTCTTTGATTCTTCGGACAAAATATTAACATGCTTAAAGATTTGTCTGTGGAATCCAGGAACATACAAACTTACAAATGTGCGCCTATCCCGTGCAAAGTTTGACCCCGTAATGGATTTTTTTTTGCATTTTAAAAATTTTTTTTTTATTTCATTTTTCAAATCGGACACTATTACATAGACTTTATTAGACAGTCGGAGTGTTCAGAGCTCTGTCCTGATATGAGCAGTTTTGTTTACTTTTAAACTATTTACATGTAGAGAAATTTGAATCAAAATAAAAGCTGGAATTTAAAGTAGGACACCACTTATCTACTTAAAACAGATGTTCTTACTACCAGTTTTTTGAGGTGCATGAGAAGATGAGTCGATTTAACTTTTGAAAACTCATCAGAAAATTGGTTCTTTTTAACGATTTCATCACCCTCCCACTGGGGAAGTTCATTACTAGGTATACAACTCACCTATGCTTAACTGTTGAACCATGGTGTTCCGCTAGGGGAAAAAGTATGCCTAATCGTTAGGAAAAACTAAATGATGAGATCCGAGAAAAACAGTGCTCTAGTGTGAACACTGATCGAGTTATCAAACACTTAGCAAGCATCAACTTCGTCGTTTTCTCTTTTGCGTAATGGGTGTTTCTATTCGTGCTGTTCTTGTTCGCCAGCTTTTAATAAAATCGTAAAAGCGTTATAAATTAATTTAAAATGTGTTATTAACAATTATTTTTGGGATTTCAGTTAGAAACATACCATTTGTTTTATAGATGGAAAGCTCTCGATATCCTTGCACTGACTTTGTTTGCATCTGGCTTCGTCATGCGCGCTAACAGTAGCTGGGGTGAGAATAATTTACGAATAAATTATCGACACAGACATTTCACTTGCTTTTCTTTGTGTACCTTAACGTAACTATGAAGTTTCAAGCATATAAATAAAATTCTATAAACCTCCCATAAAACATCAAAAACAATAAAAAGTATATGAATAGGTCTTCTCAATGTGGCGCACGAATTCTACGTGGTGACTCTAATTCTGTATTTTGTTCGCTTCACGAGTGTGTTTTCTCTGCACAACTATTTGGGACCTAAAATAGTGATGATCTCCAAAATGCTCACTGATCTCGGATTCTTCTTCTGTATTGCTCTCGGTTAGTAAAAAAAAAACTGTAATATTTCTATAAATGTTAGAGCTTTCGATAAGTTCGTATTTGAGATGTTTCTTCAAACCAAAAAGCAAATAGCCGTTTTAGATGTGTTGAACTTTTACGCATCAGAAAGTAGTGAGAACTTGAGCGGAAATGTTTTGGAAACTTATTGCACAATCATTAGCTTGCACTGTTAATTGAGTTGGGAATTTCACTTGGTTCATTTAGAAGCTAATTAACGCTAATTACACTACCATAAACTTGACATACCGGGTTGCTGGAATGTTTTAAAAAATCTGAACAAAATGTTTTAATTTTTATTTTTCATTTTAAAAACATCACGTACTTTTCAAAACTAGAAAAAAGTGCAGTTGAAATCTTTATGGTTTTGTCCTGTTACGAGCAGTTGTGAGGTCAACAACTGACAATAATCGCTATTAATTCAAAGCTGAACGATTTAACACGATATCACTTCTCTGATAACGTTGTATTTGCAATGTTTTTGCTTTTTGAGCATCAGGACAAATTTTTGCATCAGGAAAAGTTTTTATCCGAAGAAACCAAAATAAAACTTTGGTACCATGAATTTTCTATGATTGAAACTATTTTAAAAGATTTTGGGCAAACCAAATAATTGACACTTAGAAAAAGGTTGCCAGTCAAAACAGTTAGGTGCGCAATTTCTATCAACTTTAATTGTTTAACAAGCCTTGTCTCAGGCACAGATATACAGAAATGTACAACTAGCGTTTTCAAATTATGGGTGTCAAACTGGAATTAGGCCTGAAATAGTCGAGTTTTTGGTCAGAAGATCTCTCAGAGGTCAGATTGCCATAATCAGGGGCGGATCTAGGATTTTCTCGAGGGGGGGGGCGCGGATTTTCAAAAAACTTTCGAAAATTTTGTCGACCTTTTTTTTTAGATCGACCGAATTGATTTTTCGAGCTCTCACTAAGCACGTTTTAGTCCCCGTTTTGGCCAAATTTTCTGCGCCGCAGGCAACATTTTGAAAAAACAGTCAAAAAAGGCGTTTTTCGGCACTTTTTGGAAAATTTTGACCAAAAAATTGCGTTTTTTCGGCGCGCGCTCCCCCCTCAAAATTAGTAAATATTGGCGCCTAAGGCGCCTTTAGAAAAATTTTAGGGTCGGTCGGCCAAAAGTGGATTTCTTAAAAAGCACCAAAGGGGGGACCCTTTGGGTCGGCAGAGGGTCGAATCCCTGAGGGGGGGCGTCCGCAACCTCCGCCCCCCCCCCTAAATCCGCCCCTGGCCATAATTGAACTTCCGCGCTGGATGAAATGTTGTGGTATTTCAACACTTGGAATTGAAAAAAAATCAAGATCTTCATGATGAAAACAAAACACCTAAGTTAAGACACTGAGTTTGGTTTTATAACAAAGAATAAACGTCTGTTCAATCGCTACCATTTTCGACAGATTCGTGTCTATGCAAAATTTAGTTTAATTTAATTACATCATCATAATTATCATAATTACAAACTTAATTAATTCAATTACGTATGTCACAAAGCTCTACAGAAATTGTCCATTGATTCCATACCATTACCAACAAAGCCGAACTTTCTGCATCGTAATGTTATTTTATAAACTGATTTGCAATTCTCCGAATTAGAAAAATAGAACCTGTTTTTAGTATACTTGGTGGCTTATGGAATTGCAGTTCAGTCATTGATCTACCCTGGTATCACTCAACCCGCCTTCAGTATCCCGTGGGGGGTCTTCTTCCGATCCTACTTTGAGATGCTGGGGGAGCCCAACTTCGAAGAAATTGGGGCTACACACTTTGACAACTGCACGGAAGGTTCAAGTTCCGACTTACACTCAATACTTTTTTTGTTTGTTTCAAATTCGAGAATCAATGTTGAAATGTTTTTGATAAATATTGAAATCATCCATTGAAAATATCAATGTACTTGTATGAAACTCGTTAAAATTTCTGCCCACTCTTTAAAGTCATCAATTTACCAATTTCAATGATGTTCATGTAGTAAGGAAACCTGTAAAAAGGTCTGGTGATATGCCTAAAAATCATTTCACATCCAATTATAAAACCCTATTTTTAAATTTTTCCACGCCTCGATTTGCTGTGCTTTTTTCAGTTGGAGGAGCATTACACACGTTTAATTAATGTCTCCACAAGTGAACACTTTTCAAAAAAATCATATGAAATATTCATCATATACAGGCCAGCATGATAATTGTCTGCAAGTTATTGCAAATATATTTTGATTTGGAAAAGTTTGGCCATTATTTCGAACTGTGACGACGTGGAGCATTTCCTTTTGGTGAAATTGGCTCGCCAAATAGCTCGTTTTCCATGCAAAAAATATCAAAAAAAAATTGTAGAAGCTAAAGTGTCCCACGCCAGAAATAAAACTAAAAAGTCAGAACGTAAGAATTGTTTTGCGATTTTTCTGACTGAGTTTTTTCGACCAAGTTGACTTAGATGAAACGGAACAACCTGAGTTACTCAGAAGCGCCCACCGGAATGCTGCTCTTGTTTTTTTGTTAAACTTATGATTTAGTTGATAAAATTATTTCCTCATTGAGAGGCTAACGCATTAACCAAAGTGCAAGCTCTGATTGTAATTGGAATTTTCAATAAAAATCAACTTTGTCAAAAAAAACTTTACGAAACTTCCGCAGTAAGAATGGGCATAAACCAAAATAACCAACTTATCGAACTAAACTCAAAACAAGACTGCTCGTATATCAGGGCAAAGCCCTGAATATTCCGACTGATCCTTAATTCATATCGAATAGTTTTTGGGAAAAGAAAATATTGAAAAACCCTAAATTTTGGACAAAATCAAAGTATGAAATGTTGCGTCGTACGAAAATAATGCTACCGATCTGAATAACTAGCCACAACTCAATTTAGTTGTCAAGTGCGGGATAATTTGCCACGCATAGTTAGTTCGCGTTACGCTCTCAGCATTTTGAATAAATTCTTCAAAGCGCGCATAATTTAGTCCAAAACATGGGCAAATTGGCAATTCTCAAACTACCACAGCTTTACAAAAAATACTCGGAGGTAAATATCTTTTTAATTTTGAACTCAGGAAGTCAAATTGGGTTATAAATAATTTTTGTTGGAAAGTATGATTTCCATCGGCGAAAATTGACTGAAAAAAAACACCGTGCATAAATATTCTGCTTTTTGCGAAAATCGGAACAACAATTTTAAATTTCACATGCAGGGCAAAGCTGTTTAAAATCGATATGCAAAATAAGTTGGGGGATCTTAACTTGGTCTGTTTAGGAGAGAAAGATAAAAAATTTGATCTGTGTGTTTCATTAAAACAGCAACCATTTATTTTGATTAGGTTCTGAAGCCGCGTGGCCTTATGAATCTTGTCCAGATGAAACGAACAGCATCTTTGCCATAGTACTCAAAGCAATTTTTATGTTGTTCACCAATGTATTACTGCTCAACTTGCTGATTGCCATTTTCAACAACAGATACAACGATGTAAACAAAGAGAGCAATGTGTATTGGAAATTCCAGATGTTTTTAGTAATCAAAGAGTACTACAACCGGTTAGTTTCTCGCATTTTTCAGACTTTATTCGAATACAAATGAATATCAGATGTTGATTGTTTGCAAGTCGCTGAAAGATGATATAAGCTTTCAGGTATGGGTGTGCTCTGTTTTTATCCTAGTAAAA